CCTAGGAACACAAATGGGGTTATAGATGGGGGTTCTGCACTGACTTCTTCTTGGAACATTCTGTCATCATAACTCACTTCTCCTTAAACAGCTCTCATATTGTAAGGAGGACCGGAAATATGCTCCCAGCCGATGCAAGATTAACAGAGATCAGCAGAAATGGATGTGGAACCATAAAATGGAACGCATTCCTAATTATGTGATGCAGGGGTAAATCAGCCTTACAGTAGATCCCTTAAAGGGCCCCTCTTTCACTGTCATGGCATTAGATGGGCCAAATGGATTATTACAAATGATGCAGCTTTTTTTTTAATTTAATGTTTTAAATGTATAACAACATCTGCATTTTGTTTTATAGTTAGATGAATCGCAGACAATAGCCAGGGCGTTGTAAATAATGCCAATCCTTGCATTGGTTCTGACCTGCTTAAGAGATCCCTTTAAGTGGTATCCCCCCCCCCCCCCACCACCAAAAAAAAAATAATAGCAGTGGTAACATTTTTCCACTCGGTTCTGGATTTATGCTCGTGTTAATTGCGCCTGATCTCAATGATTCCGGGTGGATGGTACTAAGTTGGTTTATTACGCCTTTTATTATACTCCATGCTCTCATTTGTAACTTGCCTAAAGTGCTCCTGCATTTAAGCATAATTAAATTGAGAAATGTTCAGAAATGACTAGTCTAGTTCTCTCTTTTAAGTATATGGGGGGGAAATCTGATCCCTTTATGTTGGCTCAGTCAAGCCATAAACTAGAAAAAAATACTTTGATTTGGGTTGTTTGAGAGCAGCACCAGGATTTACATGGAAAGACCCCATAGTGCTAGGGGATCATTAACTTATTTCTGAGATCTTCTTCATTTCTACTCATCGCTAGTTACAAAAAGATGACAGGCACAGCTAGGGATAGAAAATTGAGTTCTTTATGTTCTTAAGCAATCTTTTTTTTTTTGTACTCTTTTTTTTTTACTTTTATTTTTTTTTACAGCATTGTATGTGCATTTTATTAGCATTTATGGCCATTTAAACGCTGAGCTGCAGCACTGAACAAACAAGCAGGGTAAATAATAACTAAAACATCACGTTAATCCTAAATAACCACCCATATCTCTCTATGGCCCCCGGTGATATGTGTCTGTGCTTACATAGCATTCCATATACACAAGCCGGTTCCTCCATGCTCATCTACGTGATCAAACCATTGACAGGTCATTAGAACAATAAAATAGGGAAATCATAGCTCTGCTCTCTTAGATCTTGAAAGTCGTTCAAAGGCGGGTATTTCCCCATTTCACAATAAATTATCCCCTTCCCCCCCAACCTTTCCTATACAATGCATTAAAACAAAATAGTAATTTCTGTCTCTTTATACAGCTTACAATTTATCATCAAAAACTAAAAATAGTGAACAAGCCACATATCTAAATAAAGAAAAACGAATACAAGTACAGTTAAAAAAAATAAACACAAGTACAATAAAAAGAACACAAGTACAATAACAAAAATGAACACAAGTACAAAAAAAAAATAAACACAAGTACAATAAAAAAATGAACACAAGTACAATTTAAAAAAAAACATTTCAGTGCAGCAAAGTCATTGACATGACGATATGTCATTAGATATATCCTCTGCCATAATCGTTAAACTGTCATCACTTTATTTCTCAGCAATATCTAATCCTTGATTTTTTGGAAGTATTTAGGAAAAGGTGAAAGATTATCCATGAGTTACTCTAAAGCCACAATGTAAGATGTGTCAAGGTTAAGATGTGGAATGAACTGCTGTTGATATACCTCCCCTTGCCTTCTTTGTGAATGATCAATGTCACGTTTAATTGTAAAACATTTTAATTGCACTTATTGGTAACCGAATTAAGCTCCAATAATTTATTGTTCAATTTTCTCCCTTCACATACTTAATTCGATAGAAGTGGGATAGGAGGCCCTGGTGGGGTCTGGGAGCTCTCTAATGACGCATTGCCTATAATGTGTTAAAAAAAATGAAAAAAAGGGGGGATTTTAATATATCCCACTTTCATTTGTTATGTCTTTCAGGCTTGCCAGCTGCAGGTAGAGGCAGGAGTTGTATTAGATTGCTCCTGCATGCCATTTCCTTAATTATAAAGGACAGATTATTTATTACACAACACATCCATCCTGTCTGTGGCTCTGGCTCTTTACAAGGGATAGGCATTGCTCTGCCAGATTCCCTTCAGTTCTATCCTTAGAGTCCATATATGAAAGAAGGATGCTCATACAGGACTGGGGTGGGCTAGGGTGACATATCTTTTAGAAAAGTCATGTATATACGGCAGGGCCTTAAAAAGAAAAAAAGATGAGAGCAAATCATAATGAGGTCAAGGCTGTCGGTGAGGACTGGGAAGGCAACTTACCGAGACGTCTTCTATTGCATGAGATATGGAGTGGATAGGGATGTCCCCAAGTCCTGAGCCTAGCCCATGAGGCCCATGCAGTAGATCTTCGTGTCGCCTGTAATCCCTTCGTGGGTCCAGGCCGGACAGCTGGTGGGGTATCCCCCGATGTGTGTGCAAAAGGCTGGCCTCCTGGCTCTGTCTCTGACCCGGCCACCCTGGGTGCTGAGGCTGGGGCTGTGCATGGAGGGAGTTCAGGCTATAGGGGTCGTTAACGTGGGAGTAGGGGTCTTGGGATTGGGGGTAGATGGGTTGGTATGGAGGGGGGAAATAGGGGGGCTGAAAGTCAGTATTGGGGGTGTGGGAAAGTGGAGGGGCACTGGCGTAGGGGGACTGGCCCACTGTGCCCAATTGAGGTAACCGAGCTGTCCCATTGCTGGTACCGTCGTGACGATCCTAGAAGAGAAAACAGGGGCAAGAATTAGAAATCAGCCCATTGCTAAGCAAATCTCACTATGAGCTTTCTGTAGCTGTGTTTTTAACTATATACAAGACATACATATTTTAGAGAAAGCGAGAGAGAGAGAGAGAAAGAAAAAATCTGTATATATATATTACAGAGAGAGAGAGAAAAAAAGAGAGGAATCTCTCTCTCTTTATATATATATATATATATTTATATTATATATATATATATATATATATATATATATATATAGAGAGAGAGAGAAAGAGAGAGAGTATATTCTGTAGCAATGTGTTTACCTATATACAGTACACACACATAGATAGATAGATAGACTGAATATAATATATGTGCATATATATATATAATAGAGAGAGAGAGTTTTGTAAATCTCTCTCTCTCTCTATATATATATATATATATATATACACACAGTACAGCTGTCTATCTATCTACACAGAGAGATTTCAAAACTGTATATTTATATATATGTATGTTCTGTATATATATGTTATATATATACTGTATACATGTTACACACATGTATATAAGAGTAGGGATATACAGAAATAAACACATTTAAAGAGAGAGGGATATTATATAAATGTATATATATATTATATATATATATATATATATATATATATATATAAACACATTTTCCTGCATAGGTTGTTTCCCCTGTTATTGTGCAATACTCTTTCTAAAGATATAATAACATTACTTGAAATATTTGAAGAATCTGCATCCCTTAAAAAACCGTCCCCTTCCACAGACATGCAGATACACCTAGGCACATGCAGAGTTTATTCATTCCCCCATAATGGTTTGTTTTGATGGAAGTGACAAGCCTTGTTCCTTGTCTGTTTTGCCCATATCCTGGCCCCGACCCCTTTCCATGGCTGGGTTTCAATCTGTCCAGGTCTCTTCGCCCACATAATAATCCAGTATTTATAGAAAAGACATTAGCTATAATGTAAAGACTGAACCACCCGTTATTGTAGTCAATGTAAAATATCTAGACAAACCTTTTTTCCCCAATCCAATCACACATTCCGGATGGATAGGTTAAGGGAGAAGTATGCCTTAAATTAAAGGGCATACCAAGCCAAACCATATGTTTAAAGTTAACTCGGAACCGACACATTACAAACGTTTTAAAATATGAAGGGCTCATTTGATCATGGAGAAAACACAGGATGTATTAGATAAAATCGCATGTCAGGTAATAGTAGTCATAAAAAAAAAAATCCAGGGAACCAGCCCAATAAATATTACGAGTTGAAGCCAAAAGCGGAAACGTGTAGCATTATTAACCCTAAACAACAATAAAAAAAAAAACAAACAATATAAACATAATTAAAAAAAACTCACCATCGCTGAAAAACTGTGAACTAACATCAGTGCAGATTAATGTAACAAATCAAGGTAGAAAATAGAAAAAAATAGCTGTAAAGCAAGCAGGAAGAAAGAGATCTAGGTGCTACAAAATAGCCAGCACTAGAATATCATTACTAGAAAATCATAGCGCCCAGGATTGACAAGAAGCCACCAAACACCATAATCCATCAGAACTGGAAGAAATTCTTCATTTGATGTCGAAAAAAAAAAAAAATCACTGTCTGGCTCAGATGTTAAATAGAAAGTTTTTTTCTCTCTGTGTTTTATGCTGGGCTCCTTAATCCTTGTTGATTCTCTTCTCTCTTCTTGACTTGTGTAGCGGTGCTGGGCTTGCTAGCAATGAGCTTGCCTTCCTCCCAGCCCTAATAGCAGATATTCATGACTATTAATATTACACCAATACTTAATAAAGGAAGAATGGTTGGAAATCGAGCGTGAACCGAGCAAAGCAACTCAAGGCAGAGCCCTGTTCTACTAAAATGACGTCCATTGAATGAAGAATCAGTGTATCTAATCAGAGAGGTGGAGGGGGTGGAAAAGAGGGAGAGACACGAGTGAGTGAAGGAGAGAGGGGGTTGGCTGACGAATCACAGGGAAGGGGGGACATTTTAAAGGTTGCAGGGCATGAAAAGTGAAAGAGCTGTAGAGTGTGGGGATCAGTCAGTGACAGGAAAGAAAGGATGGGGAGTGGAAGGAGGGGGGGGGGGGCAAATAAACAAAAAAAAGAGGAATTGGCACCTGGGAATCCTGGGAATATCCTGAATATGCCATTGGCATTTCTGAGCTTCTCCTCTTGCTGCTGGGAATGGGAAGGCTCTCTGGGCTCTCCAGCCCTTTGCTTTTCATTTCTGTATCCGAGGGGCCCGGATCTCCTGTCCTCTGAACCTGATCCATAGCCCGATGGGCTCTCCAACCACAACAAGCACAGCTCACAAAGCAGCTTCCTATTCCAATAGCCAGACAGGCAGATCCAGGAATCTCTCCCCCCTCTAATTATGGCTTATAGTCTATTTGCTTTCTCTTTCAGAAAAGAAAGCTCTTTTTTTCTTTTTCTTCCTAGGCATCCAGATCAGCTCTCATGTCCTTGTCGCCTAGGCTCAGACAAAAGAAGGGGCAGCAAGCCTAGCAGCGCAGGGCTTGTGGGAGCATGCAGGTCCCGGAAGGGAGCTGGGGGAACTTTGTCCTTCTTGTGTTAGCTGGGATTTCCTGTCCTGCATCCACAGATCCAGAGTCCAGATGTTGGGACAGCCGGACGGTTCCCCTCCCGTTCAGCTCTGGCCAGCCGGGGATGTCTATGGACAGCTCCTGTCCGGTAAGGCTCGGCCGGGGCTCTTGCAGCTTCGCCTTTCTTCCGCCCGATCCTGGCTGCGGCTCTGCAAACCCGTCCGACTGGCTCTACCACTCCGGCAAACAACTCCTCCAAAAATATTACATGCTCAACTTTACGAGCTCTTAGCTGGCTAGGGTTAGAATAACAACAGTCATCTACCGCCTGCATGTTCCTACAGAACTATGCACACCTAACAAAATAAAGCTTTAATCTCACTTTGAAAGCGAGATTACAGGCTCTGGGCTGGAGCTGGGCGAAGTTTTTTTTTTGGTGGCTTTTTCTGCTCTGTGTTCACATGGGACGCATGTTACTATCGACTGCACACATTTCCCTTATGCCTAATTATTATTATTTCTTTCTTTTTTTTTTTACCAAACTCAGCTAATCCTTTCCATAAGGTCATCTGATTGAAGAAAATGTAAATAAACTAATTGCTTGTAATACACCAAGGAAAAAAAAAACTTTTTGAAAACCATATGCTAACCATCCATGCTTTCTTGCGTATTTCAATGCAAAAAGCAAAAGAAAGGCTCATTATTGACACTCTACAGATTTACAAGAGATCCAAGCAGAAGAGATAAAAACAAGTCTCAACTGTCCATCTGTAAAGTGCCCCAACCACTTGGGGAATCCTCCCAGCTCTCTGCCCTGCAAGTCTTAACAAGACAATGATCCATACTCACACCGACCTTGCTTGTCTTTGTAGACGCACACTTGTGTGTCTTTGTCAAGCTATATGGTAAAAAAAAGTAAAAAAAAAAAAAGTAAAAAAAAAATCTAAAACAAAAAAAAAAAAAAAAAGACAGCTCATTTTGCCCGACACTAACACCGACCAGAAAATATACAATGCAAATAACCACTTAATAAATACGTAATAAAATAGAATGGTTTCGTTTACACTGCTTTCAAATTTGCAAATCTAGCCCTGATATTTAAATAGATGTTCTGTTGATTGAGAAAATAAATTGATAAGGTAGACGTCATGAGTTCGTAAATGCAGAACATTGTTAAATGCTGTGTTCAAATAGAAATCCCCATTTTATAAAACCCAACCACTCAGATGGCATAGTTACGGTGATGGGGTTAATGTTTGCTTGCTGTAAGAGTGCAAGCAGTTTGGAAGTCCATCATGCATAGAGATCAGGATACCCCAAGCTTTTTCTAACTGAGAATGTGGAAATCTGGCTCAAGTTTGAAATCTGTGCAGAGGATCGGATCTCAGGCTCCTAGCCCTTACCTCACACTCCTCGTATTTGATATTGTCGGTCAGTTTCCAGAGCATTTTCATGGGCTTTTGGGAAGAGAAATTCGCCTTTCTCCCTTGTCCCCACAAAAGTCTAGAGCCCCTGTGTGTTGTACAGAAAGAGTGAGGCTGCTGCAGTGTTTGGTGCTCTGATATCTCCCTCTAATGGTGGAAAGTTGCCTCTTTTTTTCTGCTGCTCTCCAACAAGCCATAAGTACCTTATTAGCATATCAACAATAGCCCAATTGCTAGGTGACATAGGAACCTGCTCTGAAGGACGCTGCTACAACATAGAAAAAAATCTGACCAAAACTAGAGCAATTTAACTATTCCCTATTGGATACTTACAGGAACAAGTAACAACACCAAAAATACATACAAATACCTATTTTGCATTGAAATACTATTTCTGTTGGTCAGAATTTCAAGATAGCTACACACATGTTGGGTAAGTTTATCCTCAGTGTCCATAGTAACTATTATTATGTATCATGAGGATTTGTAAACCAAACATCAGAAATTATTTTGCCATAGAAGGTTGGCTTAAAGAATTAATACTGTATTATTATTATTATTATTAATAATAATAATAATTATACTTTTTTTTTTTTACATCTACTTATTTATTTTACATAATAAAGGGAGATAGTACAATAACAATACAATTCAGTACAAAGGCTCGTGAGAGCTTACAATCTACTAGATGTACGTTGTGTTCAAAATAAATTTTTCAGCTAGAGACTCCCCCCTTTTTTTTTAGTCTGTGTCCTATTTGATATTCTACTTGGGTGAATAAATATGTTGGGAAAGTGTGAAATGAGAAAATTATGCACCATCTAATGAACAGTTTCACTTTGACATTAGTATAATGGTTCATTTTAATGGCTAATTGTACTGGACTCATAGGAGAAACTGGGGCAAACAGCCGACTAGAAAAAAATATACCTTCTCCAATCCTATCATAATTCTCAGCATTTTATTCCTATGAGTTTTTCCTTTTTGGGTCGATTTACTAAAGGCAATAGGCTGCTCTCTTTGCAAGGGACGTTGCACTTTGCAAGGGATTTTTCCCCAGAGCTTAGGAAAAGAGTGATTATTGGCTTACTTCCATCATCCAATCAGGTGCTAGCATTTTTTCCTTGCATGTGATTGGGTATTATGTTCAAAGTGAAACTTCACCACATTCACTGAGCTCTAGGGAAAATACCATTGCAAAGGGCAACTTTCCTTGCAAAGTGAACAGCTTGTTTGACTTAAGTAAATCAACCCTAACAGGTTTCATTTCATTTTCTTTCTATCCTGTGTCCAGGCAGCAGTTAAGCTCCACCTAGTGTTTTTTGGTGGGTGAATAGGTGCAATAGGGTCCAGCTCAGTCCAATGTCATGAAGATGCAGGAGGGCTTTGCTAACCTACAGACAGTGAGCTCTTTTCTATTGTGCCAGCACTTGTCTAGTCCAAATAGTTGTTTTTAGCACATTGAAGTTAAAATGAAGTTAAGATTAGCCTTTGGTGTATGTGCTAATAGGCTGGCAATGTGAAAAGGGGCTCCATAGCTTGAGCTAGCGCCATCCACTTGAGGTCAGACAGGGCCCATAGTCACATCAACAAGATTACCATGACCGCCCAGCTAATTGAATGCGAATTATTAGCGTTAGGATCAAACAGAACAGTGTGAAGGTTAGCAAGAGTGTGAAAGAACGCTTTAACACCACCGAGCACATCAATAGTCTTTGCATTAAAAGAGTCATCATTAACATTTCTTGGGTGGGGTAGTTGCATCCAGGACCTGCTAATAGTGTGAAACTCTTAAATATACATGTCCACTGCAAGCCTCATTGAGATGCAGAGACTCATTATTGTATTAATACCACCATTGAACAGCTAAGCTTACCTATCCCATGATACTACACTGCTGGTATAATGCAGATATAAATTAATAGTGACAACATACTATATAAACACCATAGATAATAAAAAAATATCCATGTTCAGAGCAAGTCTCAGTGAGATGCACAGAAATTCCAGTACTATTGCCACCATTGAACAGCTACCTTCTGATAATCTGATACTACATAACTGGTATGCAGATATAAATGAGTGGTGGCAACATATTTATGTAAATACTATATATAAAAAAAAAAAAAATACATGCCCTGCACAAGACTCATTGAGGTGCAGACAAATTCGTGTATTATTACCACCATTGAACAGCTACCTACTTATAACTTGATACTACATAACTGGTATGCAGATATAAATGAGTGGTGCCAATATATTTATGAAAAATACTAAATAATAATAATAATAACATTAAAAATAATACATGCCTTACACAAGACTCACTGAGGTGCAGACAAATTCGTGTATTATTACCACCATTGAACAGCTACTACTTATAACTTGATACTACACAACTGGTATGCAGATATAAATGAGTGGTGACACAATAGGACATAAACACTATATAATAAAAAAAATATATATACATGTCCTGCACAAGTCTCATTGAGATACAGATAATTTGTGTATTGTTACCACCCTAGGAACAGTAAAGTAACTGATAATAGTTGGTAGAAAACAGGTGAAAAAAGTGAGTGGTGGCAACAAATACAAGAAAATGTATTGTGCACAAATACATCACTCATATCCTATTCTAACAAAGACTAGTAACTAAAATAAACAGTTATGCTAGCCAAGCACCAAAGAAACAAAGTAGGCCTTACTATGCAATGCCTGAATATACTGAAGTCAAGGGTAATGTATGAACCACCTTGCTGAATATCAGTAGTGTGATATTAAAATAATCCTGGTAGTTGATCTTTGAATAACAAGTGATGATAATCTATATAATATAGAGTGTTTGAATGTCTTGTCAGGCCTATATATTTTAACAAAGTCATATATGTGTGTCTTTTTTGGACACTAGAAACCTGCTTTTGTCTATCTACTTGCTATTCATAAAAGGAGGCAAACATATACATGAACTGTGTATAATATATAGATAGATAGATAGATAGATAGATAGATAGATGGATACGCAAGCAGAGTGTACACATACCTTCAAGGTACATGAACTGAACTGTACATCATACCTCCACAGACATTAGTGTGTACAACATAACATGTATACACTGTATTGTGCAATAGACATACACATATGTATATATATTTATAGTGAACACAGACACCTGTAGGTGCCTTCACAGTGTAGTGCTCTATATACAACTGAATCAAAACCTCTAAAATACACTATAATATCTATATATCCATATCTATCTATCCATCTATCTATCTATCTATCTATCTATCTATCTATCTATCTATCTATCTATCTCTCTTTCTATATATGTATATATATATATATATATATATATTGCACAGACAACTGTAGGACTCTTCACCACAGTGTAGTGCTCTATATTAAAAGGAATCAAAAGGTCTAAAACACACTATACAATACACACACCCACTCTAAAAACACACTATACAATACACACACACACACACTATATATATATATATATATATATATATATAAATATATATATGTATACAGCTATATATACATTACACCACCTTTGAGGCCCTGGAGAGAGATTTGCTGTATATGAAAAGCGATCCCAAAATCTGAAACACATGTATTACAACACAAATACATATCAAACAATACACATATACTATGCAGTTTACAGTACATCCCTACACCCCTATCTACAAAGACTCTTCAGTCACATGCTCTGCAGTGTAGAGAACAATCCACAAGGAAACCTACAGTAATGTGGCCTGCTTGTAGAGTGAATGAATTCCAGGCAGACATCATTCACCTTCCTATCCAGCCTATAACCCTGTAGAAAAATAAGTGGCTCAGGGCGGTTTTGCCTGCTCTGTTCCTCACCTGCCTTGTATTTTTTTAATGAACAGGAACAGTCTATGACAGCAGACAAAGGCAAACATTTATCTGCACCTCCATGGCCTTCCAGTACTAAAGTTAGATCCACAATGGTAGAGTGTAAGCTACAGATAAAAATGATATATATATATATATATATATATATATATATATATATATATATATAAAAAGTGTGACAATGCTAGAACAATCAAGAATCACATACTCATTAGTAATCCAAAGGTCACTGAAGATGTCATTTAAATAGTGGAGTGACATCTCACCTGCCAATCAACCATCTTGGCCAGCATGGACATCCTCTAATCCCTGACTGATGATAGACTGAGGGAACCGCCTGTTGATACGACCAGCTTCAACAAATCCTTCTCTTACCTGCACAGGAACATCTCACCTGCTCATAAAGAACTGGTTGCTACCTGTGCACGCATGCGCACAAGTTAGGAATTTTTGCTTAGGTAACTTACTATGTTCTTAGCTGTCTGAGTTGTTGATGGATTTACAGCAACCGAAGTCTCCACATAAACACCAGGTTCCCTCCCCCTTCCAGTCCCCTTACTACCAGCTATTTATTACTCAGGGGTGGCTGATCTCCTGCATTGATGAAGTCAAGTGCTATGGTGATAATGGGGTAGTGAGACCCCCTATGTGTTCAGATCCTACTCTGAATTTAAGGGACTGTACATTAGTATGAAATTCCTAGTGATTTTATCAATATCTTCTGCTGAAGAATGAGTTTGGTTTTCTATTTAACAATGTCCTCCTTTTACTATTAAAAAAAGACCCCCCACCCTCCCCACCCTCCTGTTATCTTGCATCCTTTCTGTCACAAAGGGAATGGTTTGTATAATGAAACACATCTCAATAGCACATTACTGCCGGGTACATTATTAAGGCAATCTTAATGCAATAAAGCCTTACTTTATGCCTGATAGCAGATCTAGAGACAGTAAATACAAACCAGGCGCTGTTTGCTTTGTGGTAAATACACTGATTGTTGACTATAAAAAACAGTTATGGGCTTGTGATCTTGTGTTCTACCTTCCAGTAAAAAAGTAAGGACATCACAAATCACATTATGCTTTGTGGCCATTCCTAAATCCAGCTATACACTGGGAGGGGATTCCTAGGGAAGGGAGCAGCCAATCAGATTTCATGATCCACAGTCAGT